TCTTATAAAAATAATTGAAAAATATTTTATAGCACTGCGTGGCATAAGTTCACATCTATGGCACGCTTTTCGGTGGCATAAGTCGCACATTCTGGCACCGCTGCGTTCGCATCACACTTGCATACGCTCGTGCGCTAACCTCACTTCGCGCTACCAGAAAGTGCGACTTATGCATCGGAAAAGGGGGCATAAATGTGAACTTTGCACAGTACTATAAAACGTTGTTCGATACTCGGGCCATAGGGGACACTTTTCGGCCCAGCTATTAGGACCCTCGCTGCGCTCGGGCCCTAAACTACGCCGTGCCAAAAAGTGTTACTTATGGCACTTGTATCGAAAATTACTATTTTATCACGTTAAAAATTCATTAAATTAGCAATTGATCTCGTTAAGTAGTGTTATTTTTCAATTCAATACCCTATTGTCGATAGTTCGACGATCAAGAACTTCAAAGGCGAACCTCGTTATTCGCGGTTAATGCGTAACAAAAAAATGCCGTGAATGCGAAAATCATGAATACGGAAACATTGCTCTTGTGGGATTTAAGGAATCGCGTATACATGATCCAAAAAAATTTTAATATTCAAGCTAAAATATTAATTTTTAATGGCATTAATTACATTTTCAATTTATTTACGAAAAATAATTTGTAAGTAGTGATTATTTTTGACGTTTACAAGCGTCTTTATACAACTCTTTATGGGGTGCAAGTACTTTTTCACACTCATTTTTGAAATTCAAACTAATCGTCACCATAGGATCATCTTCTATAGCCTGATCAATGGATGTTTGTTTATAATTCATGCAATGTTTTCCTGCGGTATAAGTTCCTTGAAGTTTCTTAAAGTTCATCAACAGTTGCATTTTTAATTTTAGTTGGAAGTGTATTACTCATTACCTCTTTAATATCCTTGAATGAAACTGAATTTTCTTCTTACCTTACAAACATGCAAAATTTCAATTTCTTCGATGTCTGCTAATCAGAAGATCCGAATGATTTTATTCACCTTCACATGTTGATCAAGTTGCGTATCACTCGCACGTATTTTTGTTTTATTATTTCTTATAGATCGAATTTTTGATTCGTTTACATCGAAACGACTTTTCCTTCAATAAAATAGAGATTTGCAATTTTTAAACGATTGATTATACTTTATTTTATTATTATTCCTTTTTTTATTTTGAAAGGCTTCTTCTCAATCGGAACCATGTTGCAAAGATTTACACTTTAAAACGAATGAAAACATGAACAAAAAAGTTACTGTTTAAGCCCAACAATTCATAAACGAATATAAAATGTAAACAAATGTCAACATTTTATGTTCCTTCAAAAATCAAAACCGCAAATAGCGAGTTTTTAAATTCGCGACGTTCAAATAAATGCATGTGCTTTTTATTTAATTATGGAAGGAAATTATCTAAGTAAATTTGTGCTATAATAAATATTTAATAAATAATTAATAAATTATTTTCATGAATAGACACCCGTGACGAGCATCTACGTTCATTTACGTAGTTCATCATTGTAACTTAATAAGAACGTTGGCACTTATGAGGGTTCAAACTTAGAGTTAATATAACTGAATATAAGTTCTAGAGAATAATGTTTTTCCGTGTTATGGACCGTATAATTTTTTTTCGTGAAAAAATAGGTACTTCGTTGCCTCGTATTTGATTTTTTTCCATGGAATGAAAATAATTTTTGCAAAAATTTGAATTTACGACTTCATTCATTAGTTCGCTGATAGTTTTACTCAGATAAAAGTTTATTCATGTTGTTTTATATTAATTTTGATATAAATTTAAAAATAAATAGAATAAAACGTTGATTATTAGATTCAGTAAAAATCCCTGTTAATTTTTAATTTTTTACCTTTCCTTTTTTTACCTGATTAGTTAGATCATGTCATTTCTTCATATTTTGATTGGGTATATTTTGTAAACCAGAGCAAAGATAAATTGCCGCAACAATAAAGTAGCATGTTTCAAGTTTAAGTGTTGCATTACTTCAGATTACTTCAGAGATGTTTAAGTACGAATATCTGTTCTTAACGAATATGTGCGTAAAAGACCAATCGTTTAACGCCCTGAAATTGGTCACACTATTGTACAAAACAAAGATCTCGATCGGTACTCATATACAGTATTGAGAAGCTGTGTGTCGCTACTGAAGTCAGATTAATGGACTAAGAATACTTGGGTTTATTTCGACAAAGTTTTGGTGTCGCTGAGCTACCATTTTCGGTTCACCTAAACCAGCGCGCGTTTCGGGAATTTCATTCGTATAGTGAGTAACATCCCCTTAGCGAAGCTGCGCAGTTGCAGTAGCAGCAGTAGCGCGAATAATTTGGCGCCGAACTCAATCTCGTAGAAGACTCTTACGTGCACTCGCTACGACAATGGAAACCTCCAGTGTTTTTCTATGAACGATGTATTGTCGTCTGCGTATTTATTAAAATAGTTGAATGTCAAAATTTGATATATCTCAAAGTAATATATTTTTTCACTTTTGGCAAAGATACAACAAATTAAAAACACGAATAATTTACTAAAAATTATTTTTATTAAATAAATTTTTATTTAAAAAAAAATTATTGTTGATAATATTGAGTAACTCAAAGAATTTGTCTTGATGCCTCTGTTTTAGAAGTCTTACGCGGTTGTATTATTTCTGCGACTCACAATGTTTTAAAAGTTACCTTTTGATTCGTGTTGTTACTGATGTTTCATGAGAGAAAGTCATTTATGACGGATTCATCGTTTTTTTTAACATTTTTTAAAATTGAACATATGAAGAATTTTCCCAACTTCTCGTGTGCACAAGCTTGTACACTAAGCACCTGCAACAAAATTTTTTCGATTCCTTTCATCAGTGTCTGAAATTAAAAAACCGTTACTATTTCGCCAACTTGGTTTACCTGTCTAATTTTTCTACTTTCCCTTTTCCCCAGATTGTATAATAAGGTCAAGAATATTTATTAGAGTCGCGTGGTCATGACGTTTCATCGATTTTAATTGGTATTAAAGAGATACATTTATAAGCTTTGACGCTTCTACATTTCAATCATGATTGGATTTGTCGACTTTCAATTCAAGTGTAAACCAACAACTGGTACTTCTTCATCATAAATTATGGTTGAAGATGTATTAAATTGGCACTAATCATACAAGTGTATAAAAGATGTATTTGGATGGTGAAATAAGATCGTAGGAAAAATCAACACAGATCTTATCATTGGCTCTATTATTGTTTTTTTTTGTTTTGTTTTTTTTTCACATAAATCACATCAAAGCACGAAGATAATTTTTGTTAATTATATCATTAATGAAGGCTATTTTGATATGCAACTTTGAGCTAATACCATTTCTCAAACGAAATGAGAAAACTTAAAAAAAATTACCATATCTTATGTTTTTGAGGGTGCTACTTCCACTGATTCAGTTAAAAAAACTATTCATAACGCAAATTAAAAACTTGACCACAAAACATTTCTTGACATTCAAATTGGTTTTTCTATCCCATTTTTAAATTTCTTATTGTAATTTTTTGAATGGTCAAAATGCATGCAGATCATGCATTCAAAGTCTAATCTTGACGCAACTAAGATTATTTTAATAAAAAAATTTTTTGTTCAACAAAATCGTCTGGAATGGAAAATTTATTTTTAAAGCTTACTATTTTTATTTAAACTAAATGAGTTTTTTCAGAAAAATTTATTAAAATAATAATGTTTTAAAATTGTTCAGAGAATGTTTTAAATTTAATTTAAGTTTTTTTTAGAATTTTCAGAGACAATTTTTTTTGATAACTCAAAAACAATGAAGAAAAATTCTGAAAAAATCAATGTTTTCCTTGAACAATTTTAAAACATTTTTTTATATATTTTTCCTTTTAACTAAACATTATCATTTGAAAAAATTATCTCAAAATATAAGATATAGTATTCTCGATTATAAGAAATTATAATAGTTCCATGTTGTACATCAACAGCTAGATAAATTTTTAGTAAATTGAGTTTTTGAATTTCAGTATTTTATTTTACAAGTATATAGTTATAAGGTCGTAGCTAAAAAAAAATTTTTGCTCTTGTCGAGATATGAATTAACTCAAAATTTATTTGAATAAATCTAATTGAAAAACCGATCATCTTGATTATTTAGTTCTATAGTGATGCAAAAAAGTGACGGGGTTTGTTTATAACATAACAGAAGAACGTAGAGTTCCTATGAAGTATAAGATATAAACATAAGTATAAACAGCTCGCAGCCTCATAGTGGCACGCGCTAACTTTGCTCAGACGTCGTCGACGCCGCCTCCCAGTTTCCTCCTTAGCAGCGAGCGAGCTTCAGCTGACATCCCGAGGTGTATACACGATACCATAGCGTATTATACGTATACGTAGCGGTGGCTGGTGCTGCTGGTGCTGCTGTCGTTGTCGTCGTCGTCGTCGCTTCACGTGCCTATCACCGATGTCGTCCCCTTACACTCGAAGTATATAGCGCCGCGCGCCGTGTGCGATGCTGCTCTACTGCTCGCCCCCTCTCTTTTCTCCTGCTCTCTTGCGTCTCTTTCAGCAGGCGCACTGCTTCGTATTTCCTTGGCGGAGGCACTGCGGCGTCATGACAATATCCCCCTTTCCCCTGGGCTATATACATATTTTGGAGTCCCTCTACGTTCACTACAATGCGCCGGCGTGTAGCTCTGTCTCGCTTTCGTGCTGCGCAGCAGTGTGTGCGAATACGGAGTCTGTACATGATTACGCACACACACGCAATCATCTCTCTCACTGTCTCTATCTCTCTCGTTTATTTGCCGTCTCTTTTCAGCAAACGCTATGCCTTGCCCGGTGACGCTAGCGCCCCCACAGCAACAACTCCACCGCCGTGGTGTGAGTGCTTTAGCTGACGTGTGGTGTGCGGCTCCTTTAGTTGTATTGCGACCGTCGATGGTATAGTGGTACGTTCGCGCGTCGCTTTAGCTTTAAAGATTTCAGTCTCGTAAGCTTTTTCACCGGGTTTTATATTTTTGTTGTTTATTACGCTATATAGTAGTGATAATTTTTGCATAGTTTAATAACTGTTATTATATTCATTACTTCTCATAAAGTTCGGTAAAAGTTCATTGATATTTTTCCAGTTCGTGGCTCGCACTCTTTCAAAGCGAACTGTCTGAATTGTTACTAATTATGTCATAGGCATTAAAGTGTTGATGCATCATGTGAAAAAATGACAGCACCTTCGATGTTGTGTAGTAGCGACGTGACTGTCACGTGTGTTTCTTTGCTGCATTGCAAGCGAAGATTGTCAACAATATCTCCGCAGTGATTTGATTCGTTTATATATATTGTTATACAAATTCTACGCGCATCATGTGAATTAACAGTGATTTGGATGAGTGATAAACAAGGAGTGAATTAAGTTTAGTCAAATCAAGCTAAAAGTGTAGTGTTAAACTAAAAGTGTGTTTTGTCATAAAAGTTTAACTTTTAAAAAGTGCAATGATCGTCAGTTGACCGGTGACAGATGTTTTGTATACATAGTGTGACGTACTATAGTCCACCCTGAAATTAGTTTGAGCAACTCGAGCAAGTCAAGTGATCACAAAAATACACTAGTGCAACAGTAGTGTTAAAATAAGCAGGAAAGCGGTGGAGAGTGGGTGTATCGTAGGTCGACGAGTGTTCGACCTAGCGTCTCCGGAGGACATCGGCCGCTGCTGCGGCCACAAATAGAGACTTTGATTGAGGGCCTCAGTGCCACCCCGGCCACCGAAATTCTTTCAACCCTGTCCTGCAGCGGAGGCGCGAGCCAAGGCGGAAGTGTGTACGGCTCAAGCCTCGTGTTTGGCGAGACGGGTGGCGCGGTGGAGGGGGGTGTGATGCCGGTGCGGGTGGCGCAGCGCCCTTCAGGAGGACTGCTGCACGGCGGTGTGCCGGTTGCGCCTAACAGCGTTGTCGGCGGGGGTCCAGGGGGTCCTGTCGGGCCGGGAGGCCGTTGCGGCCTCGGTGGACCTGCATCGACTGGCTCGCCACCTTTATCAACCACGTTGGGACTAGGTCCCGGTGGCCCAGGACCGAACGTCTCGATGCCTGGTTCCGTTGGCGGAGTACAGCAACCGCCCGGAATTTCATCGGGAGCTCAAGGTCCTGGTCCAGTTGGTCAACCTGGCCCCGGTGGGCCTGTTAATAACGCACCCAACCCCCTTCAAGCTATGGCTTCCGCGGCTGCCTCGCTCGGGCAGCTTAATAATATGGCTAATGGTCCTTTACCGCCGATGGGTGGAGGACCTCAAGGACCACCAAATTTACCACCTCCACAACCAGCTACGACTCCTACACACGGGGGACCTGCAACCCCTCACCAACCCGGTAGCGTTCCCGGGCCCCATCTTAATGGAGCATCACCTAGTCCACATCCGATGTCACATGGGATGATGAGCAGTTCGCCGCATCCGGCACATCCCCATATGACCGGCAGTGGTCCTTCACCACACCCACATCATCCGGGGCCTGGTCCAATGATGGGTTCACCGCATCATCCAGGTCCACATATGGGACCAGGACCAATGATGGGCCCGGGTCCTGGAATGCCACCCCAAGGTGGACCAGGAATGTGTGGCCCTGGAGGACCTGTAAATCCGATGGGTGCTCATGCACCTCATCCTCAAGGGCCAGGAGCCATGCCTGGACAACCGCACATGCACAATGATCCATTCTATTGTCCTCCTTTTGGATCACAATACATGAGGTAATAATGTTTAAACTTTATTTGAAGTGCTAAGTTGGTTTGTAATTAAAAGTAAAATAAATTATTACAAATGCGATAAATAACATATCGATCGTATTTGTTTTGTGAATTTATCATGTGCAATATATCAAAACAAAGATTCTGTTTTTTCTCCATCAAAAATTACGAATAAAATAAGTTATAGTTTTAGAAACAAAATGAGCTTAATTGATAAACACTGTTAAAGAAATCTGTTAAAAAGCATAAAAGGAGCAAAATAAATTTCTCAACTTGTTGACATTGTGCCTGCGAAACTTTTTGAATCGTATTGCATCAAGCACGCTTAAATCCGTTAATTATTATCACTTGAAATCTGAATATGTTACAAAACTAAGAAATTTTTAATAAAATATTACGATAAGTAATTCTATATGACGCAAAGTGAAGCTACAGCTAAGCTTAAGCTAAAAAATTTTACAACGAAATTTGTCTTCGAAACTAAAAGCAACGATTTTCTATATATTATTTTGCATTATTCTATATATGCAGAATTAATGAAGCGCATTCTCTGTATGAAAATGCAGTTCCAATGTGTGGAGTAGATGTCACCGGGCTCACCTATGACTGTGTTAGTCTTTTTTCCTATTTGTTTAGTCTGCTAACAGTACCGCCTGAGAATCCGTTATCGCGAGCACGCTCTAGCTTCTTTCGACTGCGCACACACAGGCACGAACTATCGGGTAAACATTAGTTTCGAATCTCGATAAATTCTTCTGTTAAAATTTTCAGCAGGTCAGTCTGCTCGAGTTTAGTTGTATCGAGGACGGAGGGTATTTACTTCTACAGCAACTCTGCATCTCCACTATTTGTCTGCTTTTTGGTCGAATTTTATAATAATCCTTGTATTTTTTAAAGCAAAGAAGTTGTTTTTCATAACCGTTTGGTTTGTAAATTTAGCACCATACAAAGAAAGCCGCTATGGTCTATCCAGGGAGTTTTTAATATATATTAAATTTACCTATAGATACTTTCCAATGCATAGTAGTATCCTTGAAAGCGGTCCAAGTCTAATCGCTGCTTGTTTAATCGCCAATCCGATGATATTTCATTGGCCATATTTTACAGGAGCGATTCTAAAAATGTGTCATCGTTCCTTTGATTTTTTCCGGCTACACATCTCTTATCTAGATATAAACCACTAGAAGTTGTGTTCACAACATCATTATTTTCATACAGGCCGCGATAAAGCAGAAAAATAAAAAATTATAGAAAATTGCACGCTCTTATAAGCCGACACACAAAAATCCATGTATGCTGGAAATGGTAGTTATAGTTCATATCGTGCATGCACACATACCAGCGACTGCGTATGTGTGTCCATTACATACGTATGCAAGCACGCCTGGTCTCTTTCTCTCTTGCTCCGTTGTAAATACACATATACAGGCTTTCGTCGCGCACACGAGTTATTTTTTGCTGTTTTTGCTCCTCCTCCGACCGATCGTGTACGTGAGTGAGTGTGCATATATGTGTATGTGTATACACATGAACCGATCGAACTAGCCTCGCGGAGCTCGATCGCATGTCGATAATCACAGCGCACGCGCTTCAAAATTTTGCGCAACGCTAGAGCTCGACAGCAGCGGTCGATTATAATCCACGTATATACGCCGTATATATGTACGAGGTCATTCTGCTCGTCGCACGCACATATACCAATCTTATGAAAGAGCGTCAGGTGTACGTGATGCTTCTTACACTTTTTGCAATAATCAAAAGCATGAATTCTATTGCTCGAGAAGTCATCGCATTTTTGCATTGAACGATTCTTTAACCCGACCGAAGAAAAACAACAGCACACTACTTCACTGTCATTTTGAAACGCCAAGTGGGTTTATGTGCGTGTACGTTGAATACATTCTCACAGGTGCTTCGCTTAATAGATTGTAGGTGAAAAAGCAGGTGTCGAATGCCGACAGCACCTTCTAAGCTTCCTGCTCTTGAGCGTTTCTTCAATGCAATAGTTCGCATTGAGACTTTTTTCGATACTTCAATATTTTTGTAAATTAATCGGTTCACAAAAAAACCATCGCTTTGCGTACAAGTAATAAATTTAAGTATTTATAAACTTGTTCAATTGAATCATTTTGCAATTTACACATTTCTGAAAATATTTTATTCATGTACGATACTACTAACACTTCTAATAATTTGCTGTTTTTCTTTTCTTATCATCAACTTTTTCTGTAAGGATACAGAGAGTCCTTTTTGCCAAATGACGTATCTGTACAATTATATCATTCAGGCTCCTTGCAAGGTATCTTTATTGACTATTCTATTACAAAGTTTCATTTTGAAGTAATTAAATAAATAATAAAATAATATGCAAAGAATAAGAATATAAAATGCAATTAATGAATGCTTAACACCAGAGAATAGTTTTGATTACGTTGAGGTCGTTCAATTAAATGAAAATGTTTTTTCGAGTATAATACTTACGCTGTCGCATACAATTTAACCCGGCTTAAAAGACAAAAACAGCAACAGTACTACTATAAATTGTGTTAAGTAATCGACGATACTTGATAATTATCGATTGGATAACCGCAACGAGAGGTTATTGACTGGTCTAATGCATTATGCATACGTGCGCGCCTGTACACGAGACGCTTTTTTTGCCAGTTCACGTGTGTAAAGGGTAGCTCGTTTGTTGACTTTGACGATGGAGAGGCTTTTTGCCACGAGTAAACAATGCAAAGTTGAAGGGTAGGTAAATTGAGATATGTTACAAATCAAACGCAAAACATACAAAAGTGATCGTGTTCTGCTATGAGAATTAGTGCTAGTGTAAAACGAATGATTATTGTTTCGCATTTTTTTACTTTCTAAGTTTCTTTGTACAAATCGTGTCAAAAAGTCGGCCGCATTTTGTTCTTTAATTTAACTTCAACAGCTCGTGTAACTTTTAATTTTATCACGAGACAAATTTGATTATCCAGTGCATACAAAAGATGTTTTCACTTAATATACCTCTAACTCGTACGAATTACAGTATTTTTAATCGAAAGATTCTTTATTATTTAAAACACAATTTGCTTGTGTAAAAGTTCTATTGTATAACGATGGTATACAGAGTAAAATTAGCAATTCTCAAAACACAAAACACAATTCAAGTGCATTACTATGTACAATTTAGTTTGAAACTTTGAACTCTCTGACCAAATGGATCTACCCTCTACTCACACATAACGCAGAACGGTTGCCAAACTTTCTCTCAAAAGGACGTGTGAAATTTACAAATTCCTTTTGCACAGATGCGCGTACGCCCAGAATATGCCTGTAATAAGGAAATTAAATCCAGACTTTTGGCAAAAGTACGCTTTTCTGTTTCAATCAGCAATTAGTAGCAATAATCAAACTTATTAATTTCATTTAATCAAATTGTTATAGCTCGACCTAAAGAAGAGCCCGTGCTTCAAAAAAGCTCGTTTCGAGTGATTGGCTCTTAATTGAGCCATGAACCGGTATCGGTATGAGTATTCAGCTTATACTTTTGCCCATCTACAAAGATTTCAAATGAGCCCTGGTGAAAAAAAATGAAAAATTGAGTAGGCCATTGAATAAAAAAAGTTCGTTTAATTATCAGGGTCTGGCTCTTGAACTCGGTGCGTTGAACGAGCTAATTATACAGCGGCGCATTAGCTTTGTACTCTGACGTTTGAAACAATTCACCAGTTTTATTGACTATCGGCTAAAGAGACACTTTGCCTGGTGCTCTTTTAGCGCTTCTCGTGTCAAAGTTCAAATGCTTTTTCGATCAAGTGGCCGAAATTCACGGTCGAGTGTCTTGTTTACAAGAAGCACGTGTTCGCCCGATCGAAGGCATCATTAACATTGACGTGTATCCGACGACACGAGCAAGTCATCGGATGGCTGAGTGCGCATAGAGAGACGTTGCCGCGGGAATGAACAATGCGCGTGTATACATGTGCACGATCGGGATGCACTTTCTGCCGGCACAAATTGTGCGCGCGAGCTGGCAGGTAGCTCGAGAGCCACACGAGATGAGAGAAAGAGGAGCCTTCGCCAAGTACGTGTGACTTCTCCGTCTCTTTTGCTCTGTAGCGCGCCTATACGGCCCGGCGCGTGCGAGAGATGAGTTCCTTACAGGCATGGGCTCATCGTATACCTGTGTGTGTGTGTGTTTGTGTGTGCTTATGCTTGTGTGCTTGTATGCGCACGAGTCCATTTCGCTTGCATGCACACGCTTGGTATATATATACTACATACGGCTGCGCGTATACAGTGCGACTTAGATGCGCACACTCCCATGTGCAGTGGTGCTCTTGACGCGCCGTTGATATACTTGACGCTACTCACTTGATATGATACATAATACACCACGCGCGATATTCAATCTTTCGATCGTCCTTGTTCGTGAGGGCAAATTTTCCACTCTCCACACGCCCTTTGAATTAAAATCAGACATTACGTTGATAGTTGTGAACTGATTGCAAGGGATTTCGCCCACACTCATCGCCATCCAGCGTATTTTCTCTACATTTTTCAACTGATCGATTGAATTCGTTAGGCACCTGAAGACATTTTATTGTACGTTTCGAAAAAATACGAGAAAAATCAAACACTTGCCCACGTTTTTCTCTCTTTCTCTCCGCATCGAGTTTTTTCAGTATCTCCTGCGATCCTCGGGCTGTGAACGAGATTTCAAACGAATATGTAAAAATTGCAATTTCAGCGCGAATTTTATACACGCATACATATACGCACTTTGTCGCGTATTGTAACGCGCGCCTCGAAGAAGAACCAAAGAGTCATAGTATGGGGCTGCCTCGGTTCTCTACATGTGTGTGTATTGCGCGCAAGTGTAAAAAGCCGCTGCTATGCAGCCGGCTCCGCAGACCCAAAAAGGAAGAAAAAATTTTTGACGAAAGGTGGCATTTATAAACTCTATACCCGTGAATATATGTATACGTATTTATGTACGTACGATGCTTATACGT